GAGACCCAGCCATGGTCCCAGTGTTTGCCTAAGGCTGACTTTGCAGATCTTCATAAGGATATATACAGGAAATCTGAGTGAAGAAGAACCAGGACACCCCTGACAGGGAAGAATTTCACCTTTTTTATTTTATTGATTATTATAAAATCATAAATTATCCTAAGTCCATAGGGTGAGTCAAAGTTAAGAAACAGATACCTAGGAAACTATTTTCCATAGGAAAAAAATCTTACTTTTCCTTTTAAAAGCCCAATAAACAAAATACAACTTGTATGTCTGTCTTTACTCCATAGATGGCTGGTCAGTATTGGGGGGAAATTGTTTTCTAACAATTGAATCTGACATAAATGGAGACTAGGCGACCCACCTTTACCTGTCAACTTCATCTATTTTTTTTAATCGACTTGAACACATACAGATCACTTAGTGATAAAAATCAAGAAAGTAAGCCTTTAGAAGCAGGTTTGTCTCAAGTGCATTAGCAGCCCACACAAGCAACATGGAAACACCACACTATGTCAGCTAGAGCAGTCCCTCAACTCTGTGAGACTTGTCTCCACTCGACCAGTTCTCAAGTCATCCAACTTTACATTTGAGCATGACGTGTCACTAAGCATCTGTGCATGTATTATAAAGTGACATTTGAGCAGGATGGGGTAGCCAGGTAAGTCTTGTTCTATCACAATATTACTTTAATTTTCACTTCAAGTTTATGCTAATATATGTACAGAGTTAATACATTCATGTAGATTTAAAGCATTTATATGTGACTTGAAAACTATCCACAAGGCCTAAAGATATAAAAAAACACTAAAAATTGTCTTTTGCTTTCCTATAAAAACTACAACATGCTGCACTTTTTTGTAACTGCTTAGCCTTGTAAGAAACGTTATTGTATACATACCACATCCAGAAATATTGTGCATTTATATAAGGCTAATTATAATATCCATTCAATAAGAGCTCTACACAGAGATGGGGTGTTTTCTTGTTTCTTTTTCTTATCTTTTAAAGCTTATTTTAAACAAACTACAAGAACCTAAGCATTACTAAATACTTAGGGCATCTGAAGATCTCTGGATATCTGGTCAGCATATAAATTGTCACTGAAATAGAAAACTGGGTTTTAATACATGTTGTTTAAGCCAACAGGAAGAATATGAGTAATAGGGAAACAAGGGAGATTCCCTGAACAATGAATGGATTCTATTTGGCAAGGGCAGCAACCTGCCCCAAGCACATCCTCTGCTCTCATTTGCTATAAATACACAGGCCTGGGGAGGCACAGCTTGGTGTTTGAACCTTGGGGTTATCTGACCTTCCCAGTCTTTGATAATGCATTAAGACATATGGTAAAACCGTCCCTAAATTCAGAGGATTTATAGATCTCCCCAAAATGATGTGAACTATCCCCTAGTGCTAGTAAAACGCTCTAACTCAAGTATTTAAATGTACTTTAAAAACACTGGTATTCTGAAGAACTGTTTTCCCAAATGACCTATCTTGGTTTCATATTTTTATATAAACATAAATAAATACACATACAGTTTTTCTCCTCAACAGAAGGAGGTTGAATCTACTATAGATTTTTGACAGCAAGATTTATACGGTTTAAAAAAAAAAAAAGCAGTCACAAATACTTGGGAAATTAAATTTACATGTGTACTCATGAAATACCAGCCGTCAAGCAAAATCTGTTCCAAGTTCTACTTCCCTAATACAGCTTTTACTAAGGATAATTTTCTTCAATGCTCACTGGAAAATCCCTGCAGCATTTTGTTTTGTTTTCATAACATTGTGAGGTCAGCACACTTTATTAAACAGTGATTTGAGGGCATTAGGAAGAGTAAGTATCATTCATCACAAATATTTAATAAGCCTGTTTATAATTCCCATATATAAAGATATCTTCGTTCTCTATCCTATAACACACAGACTTACATTGGCTTATAAAAATACATTGGACAAATCTGTACGATTCAACTGTAGATGTTATTCAGCATCTGTATTGCTAGTCCTTTTTGGAAATCGGTTTCTGCCTCAAATAGCCACAATGCTTTGAAAACAAAAAGCACAACATAGCAAACAATAACTTGTTTCAATAACAGAAATTAAATTGAAAAGTCAATTAGTCTGCTTTCCAGCTGAGCATAAATTCCTTACTACCTGTCTCAGTTCATTCGGGAGAGAAAGAAAAATAAATAAAAGTAAATAAATAAATAACAAAGGCTGAGAAGAATTCAAACAATTGTCATGGGTGTGTAATTTATTCAAACTTCAACTACCAAGCAAACAACCTATGAAATTCCATGTTGTCTTCTAAACACACTAGCAATTTCTGTCTCAAAGTGTCTATTCTGTTATGTCTTTTTTTTTAATATAGACACTACTGAAGAGTTTACAGTAGATAGAGGGAGAGAGAGGGAAATCGGGAAGCCTTTCTATTAGCTCAACCCTGAGGCGAATCTGTTGCCTGTGGAGTTCCTATTCTACTAAGCAACTTGTAGGAAACAGCATTGCAGCTGAGAGCATCAGATCTGGAAACTGTCCCCCTGGGTATGATATCACAAAATGACTTTGCTATATTCCTTCCCCAGACTGACACCATGGCTCAAGCCTGCACAGAACTGTCACACCCCGAGGGCAGCTCCTGGTGTCAGATATGGACCCTCTCACCTTCTCTCTCCCTAAAATCTAGCCAGGAAGTACATAAGCAGCTTGACCAGAACAAAACAGCTCTAAAAATCTCTCTAGATATTTTCCACTTGTTTGTGTTACTTTGCCTGATAGTTTCTGAATGGCACTGTTAACAGTGAACACACAGCTGGGTGGATTCACAGGTCTTCAAACACACACACACACACACACACACACACACACACACACACACACACACACACTTTCCACCCAACATTCTAAGTATGGGTTTACTGAACTCACCCTATACAAAGTAGCTTGTGAATAGGACTCAAAAGAAACTTAGTACACTTTCACTTAGTCCTTAGGTAAGCCTCACACTGAGATATCATATAATACCTACTGTAAATTATGTAACACCGAAATAACTGAACCTTGTAACTATACAGATCTAGCACAATAACATTATGACTTTTCAATCTTCCCAACCCTATGCAGATGATAGTATCAGTTCATCCAAAAGCTCACTTCCTCCTAACAAGCCATGATTTACAATTATGTATTCCCTTTGCCTGGCAAACTGAAGGGGCAACACTATCTACACAGAGTAAAGCTTTTTGTCGTTTTTTGTCTTTGAGGTATAAAACACCACATGATTTCTCCAGGCAGCATGGATTTTTCCATGTCCAAACAGTCTCTAAATGCGTGGAAGGGCATTATTCCTGAAACCTGACATTTGTTTCTAGTTAAAAGCCATTACTAACAGCATTGCCAACTTAGTAACACACCCTCGATCCCAGGTGTCACCGCTAACCGCAATCCCCTCTGTGGTAACACCCCAGGATGCTCAGTAAATGATGTGAAACTCATATGGTTTGGGGTAAAGTCAAAATCCTTCTTGAATTACATATAATAAAACATGTGAAAGCTGAACACTAGCGTGGCTTAGGGGTTTTATTTCAGACTCTGTAACAGAAGAACATAAACTGCAGTGCAATGGTGGTGAGCTGTCATGGTCCCCAGTAAGACAGCTCCCAGGGAGCATTCCCCAGGTTAGATGACAGTGACATCTATCAACCAGAGCTGGGGAATCCCAACGTCACTCGGAAAAGTCTCTGTCCACAGAGTGGAAATCCTAACAGGTCTCTGGCACACCAAGTACACTGTCAACATAAAGGAACCGTGGGTGAACTTTGCTCTTGCCCGTCATTAAAACCAAATCATTAGGTATTAATTAACTGCACCACAAATGGCAACCAGAAACCTGCATTTAATTGGCTATCACCAGACACAAATTTAAAATAACTGACACACTCCGCGCCACAGGCAGACAGAGTGTGTCATTATGCTAAGTTTTGTGAAAATTCAATTAATCCGACCATCTATTAGACAAATGTATAAAGACCAAGGGAAAAAAAGCTATTAGGCATGTTAGAATGTGTAATATGTAATCATGCTAATTTACGGCTTGAGAAGGAATCCCTGCTATGTGTTAGTGATTATATGGTAATCAGGAAATGATACAGATATTTCGGTCCTAGAAATGGTTTTATGAATGGCAGAAACGCAATTCTACCTCAGACACGTAATTATATTCTCAGCTAATTTCTCAAATCCGATAATATGACACTCCTGAGCGAATACTCCTCAGTGGTTAAAATAGGAAAAGTCTGGGAAATCGATGGCTAAACTTCTCATCTGAGAGTCTTTAAGGCCTAGATTAAAAAGCGCCACAATTACACTCATCTGTTCTGGTTCCCAGAGCAGGAGAAACATCCTCCAAAACCAAAATACTGTGAACAAAATTCTTAACAGGATTTTCCCAAGAAACTTCATTCTGTAATTCTCACATACACATACAAACTAGCTACACATTCCACCTGTGTGTGGGATATCAGTTAACCCAATACTCTGCCATTATCTGTAGAGGTATTTTAACCTCTTTGGGACTCTCCACAAACAGCCCCTGACTTCCTCAGAACCACATTCTGAGATCAGAAGAGAGAGAGCTTGGAAACCAATTGGTTCCTCTTTCAGAGAAGCCCCCCCACACGGGGACCCTAACCACAGCCAAGTTCAACAGCACAACACCTAAGAAAGCAGCAGGCACATTCCCTAGCAACTTACTGAACCAAACCCCGAGGGATTCAAAAGTTTTAGGCAGCCCAACCGAGGACCAAACTTAGAGGATTCCACCCAGGGCAAAAGCCCAGAGAGTCGGAAACACTGAGAAATCGCCCGACCCCGTGACACCTGCGAGACCTCCCTCCTCTAGGACCGCTCGGACCTGGGAGCGTCCCGCGCCCTGCAGCCGTCAAAGGGGACCCCCGAGGCCGGCCCCCGGGGGCTGGCGAGGCACTTACCGCACCGCTTGCACAGCACCCGGCTGACCTCCTTTTTGAGGTTGCGGCCAGTCTCCAGTGGGGGGAACGAGGCTCGGAAGGCGGGCGGCGCGCGGCCGCTGCTGTTGGCATCGGGTTCCATGAAGAAGATGTACCTGCTGTCCTCCTTGAGCCGCCCGCAGGACGGGAAGGCTGGGTGGCCCCAGGTGTCCAGGCGCACGGTGAGCAGCGAGTCCTTCTTCAAGCCCCCAGTTTTCACCGCCCACACCTGGTGCACCTTCACCAGATAGGGCTCGGGGTCCCAGGCTTGGTCGGTGCTGGGCGCTGGGGACCCGGTGGGCAGGGTCCAGTTGGCAGCAGCGGGCGGAGGGTCCTGGGAGGGCGGCGGGTCCTGGGCGTGCTGTCCCCGCGCCCCTGCCCCTGCCTCGCCGGCTGCCTTCCTGTCGAGTGCCCCCTGCTGCCGCCGCGGCGGGTGCACCTTTCCCTCGATCACCACCGCGGCGCGCCGGGCCAGCTCCTGCACCGAGCCCACGCTGGGCGGGGACGAGTAGCACACCGAGGCCCCCGCGGGAGCCGCCCGCTCGGCCGCCGCCCCCGGCGCCAGGGCCGCGGTCCCCAGCAGCAGCAGCAGCGGCAGCAGCAGCGGCGGCGGCGGCGGCAGCAGCGGCGGCAGCAGCCGAGGCGAACGGCCGGCGGCGGGCCGGGGATGCGGGGCGCTGGGGCTGGTACCCAGCGGGCGGCGCGGGGCGCGTCGCCATCTCATGGTGTGAGGTGCGTGCGGGCGCCTGTCGGTGCGGACTCTGCCTGGCTGGCTGGCTCCAGATGCCTCGCCTTGCCTGCCCCCACTCCTGCCCTGACCCTCCTCCTTTTATTTATTTATTGGGGGGGGGAGGTAGGAGAGTTGTTTATCGGGGGAAGAGAGAGGGGTGGAACCACAGAAGGGCAAAGAGGCGAATTTTAAAAAGAAAGAAGAAGGAATAAAAAGGAAAAAGGAAAAGAAAAAAAAAAAGCCTTTGCCACCGCCTCGGTTGCGGGAGTGACAGGTTCCCCCCACACCGCCGCTGCCGCTGCCGCCGCGCCCCGAGCCCTGCTGTCGGGGATGCTGTCACCGGAGGAGGAGTGGAGGTGGAGGCGCTGCTCGGCGGGGAACAGTCCTTTGTGTGGAGTGCTGCTGCGGCGGCTGCTGGGCTGCGAAAGCGGCGGGGACGAGAGCGCGGGGACAGAGCCCTGGAGGCGGAGTTGCGTGCCTGGAAATCGCTGGGTGGCCGAGGCGACAGCGCCCTGCGCCTGGCCTGCCTGTTTACCTGTGCTGCGAACTCGCCCCCAGCGCGCGCGCTGTCTGCCCTTCCCGGTGCTGAGCCCGAGCCCGGCCCGGCTCGGCCCTCCCTCAGGCTGGCTGTCGCCCTGACTGCTGCAAGGCTGCAGTCCGAGTGGGCTGCGGAGATGTGCTGGGGAGTGAGAGGTGACGCTTCAGTGAGCAGGGGACCTGTTAGCCGCGCTGGGTGCCCCAATGTAGGGAGGAGGCCAGGGTGGGACACAGGACGAGGGTCCTCGGTTCAGAAAAGTTTTGGATGGTCGGGTTACTTGGCAGTCAAAAGGGAGCAACATGTTCATGGAAGACAGGCAGCAATTAAAATAACAACTTTAAAACACGCCCCCTCTCTTCCCAGCGCACAGTCACTGTATACTTCAGGTATGACGCCTCTCTCTAGTCATTCTTGTTTCACTATCCCTGCCGTTGCCTCCCCTGAAATATATGGTTCGCCATGATTTCAGGACTCGTGTTGACGCTCCTTCCACATAAAAGCTTAGTTGAGTCAAGTGCAAGTTGATCAGTAAAGCCATTTTATATATAGTTCACGGCACTTTTCTTTAAAGATCAAAGTTTCGGTGGGTGCCAGAACAAAAGGTCCCAGGCATAGCATATGCTTAACATTTCACCCGAGTCCCCCACCCGCCCTTCCCTAACTCCTATACTTCTAGGCTTGAGGACCTTCTTCCAAAGTAAGAATCTATCATATCTCATGGATAATTTTTTCCAGCAATATCATGCAAGAGAAAGAAAACATTTTAGCATGTCGTGGTAAATGATTCCCTCTCAAGGATGTTCTTTTACGTGTTCAGCAGCAGAATACAGCAGAGGTAAAGTCGCTCCCTGAGCAATAGATGCAGACTGTGAAAACGGAAGCCTGCGAAAGCACTCTGGCTTCTTGACAGCTTTACTGGGGGGATTCTACAAGTTGTCATTTCTTGAAAGTACAGTATATTAGCTTCTAGGCTTTGTTTTCTTTTCTTTTGTCTTGAGGTGCTGAGCATTGAACCCAGGGCCTTACCCATATTACGCAGGTGTTCTACCACTGAGCTATTCGCCCAGGCTTTTAAAAAACAATCACTTGTTAATTTTAATCCAGTTTTACTCAGTTGCTGAGACTCACTCTTCAGCCTGCAGCCCAGTCAGGAGTTGAGCATTGGCCTCCTGAATAGCCAAGGTTATAGTCTGTGCTGCCAAGCCCTTAGTAGTCATGATTTTATACTTTAAAAATGAACAGATTTATGGGGGTGGCAGTGGTGCATGCCTTTAATCCCAGCACTTGGGAAGCAGAGCCAGGCAGATCTCTGTGAGTTCGAGGCCAGGCTGGTCTACAGAGTGAGATCCAGGACAGGCACCAAAACTACACAGAGAAACCCTGTCTTGAAAAACAAAACAAAACAAAAATTAAGAGATTTTAAGCCATAAAATGAAGTCTTTGGTTATTGGCATCCTATATTTGGCTACCAAACAGGGTTTCACTCTTTCAAAGTCCAGCTTGGAAGGATACATTGTGGATGCTCAACTTTCTAACATGACAATTGATTACTGCCTTATACTCTGATAGAATGAATGAGGAAAACTCATTACATAGCATCGCAGTGGTCTCCAACATATGCTCTCTTGAATTCTTACTTTCTAGTTACTGAAAGTTGAGAATCCAAACCTATTAGTCTCCCCATATTGTTCTTAGGTCTCACCTCGTGTGTCTCTGCCTCGCTGTTTTTTGAGGTTTTACTCTTACTTAAAACACTTACTCCCTCTCCACCTTTCACTTTTCAAGCAATTACCTAGCACTGCATGGCAAACCATTCAAAAAACTCTTGGCCCAAACAGTATCTACCCATTTTGCCTAAGATTTTAGTGTTTGGTTGTAGCCACAGCACCAATGGTTCTTCTGCTGGTGGTGGGGATAAGGGAGGGTGGCTAACCTTTAGTGACCTTAGCTGAGATAGCTCACATCATAAAAAAGGCTGGAAGATGGCTCAGCAGTTAAGAACTCTGGGGCCTTTCTCAGAGGACCTGAGTTCAAGTCCCAGTACTCACATGGCAGTTCACAATGAACTGTCTTTAACTCTGGTTCCTGGGGATCTGATGCCCTCTTCTGGCCTTTACAGGTACCAGGCACACAAATGATGCACATAGATTCAGGCAAAACACACAAATACATAAAATGATAATTAAAATTTTTTAAAAGCCAGTCTCATTCTTCAGCAGACAGCCTAGGCTTGTTCAAGGAACCTGACTATGTCTGAAGAGACTGAGTGGCCAGAAGCATGCAGGGTCTCTTAAAGCCAAGGCTCAGAATTAGCATCTCATCTCATAACTTGTCACCATCACGAAGCCATCTTAGATTCTAGGAGTGGAGTTGCAGGCTACCCATTCATGTAAGGAACTCAAATGCTGTGTCATTGTTGAAGGCAGAGAAATAAGAAAAGAACATGGGCTTTCTGCAATGACCCACCACTTACATTAAACATCCTTTCTGATCCAACTGTTCCCTGGAGCTGTCTTTTAAATATTCAACTCTCTGAGTGGCCATTTCCCACAATGCACTTCATCTGCATCATCTTCCCTTGTGATTGTATTACTTTATGGATCTCATATACCTCAGGAGTTCTACTCCTCTCTTCACCTAGACTGTAAGTGTATTAGAAAGCATGGGCCATTCGTCCACTCTTTTCATTTTAACTCAGTTATGGACACATATTAAGCACTCAATAAATGTCAGCTAATTAATCACGGACTGATTTGGTAATGTGCTCACCACACATTACCTCAACACTGTCAAAGAGAAATGGAATTCCTGGCAATAAAAAAACAACAATAAAATGTTAAAGCCCTGACTTACAGAGTCATTAAATGCATAGCTACCTCCTCTTAGTACTTTACAAAGCATTTTATCTATGATCAAACATAAGCTGCCTCTCTGAAGAGGTACTTTTTAAAATGCCTGTGCTGACTCCCACACCCCCCTCCTCTCTCTGCTAAGTGGAAAGGGATAATTTGGATGGATATTTTCAGTGCAAAGGTAGGCCGCCTTAGAATAGTTCAGCTAAGAATTGTTTGCACATGTATTGAATTTCAGTTCTTATATTGGAGTCCTCATTACCAAGGTACCACCTAAGGAGAACTGTTAACCCATTTTGACCTTTAAAATCAGAAGAGGAATGATATTTCTAATATCAGTAGGCCTGAAGTGAAGCCAAATAATTTGCATTTATATCAAGATTTTGGTGACACTGTTTGCTATTGGTAGAAAGACCCCACTTTAAGAACCATTGCAAGTTGCCACAGGAGCCAAGGAGATGGCTCAGCAGGCAAAGCCGTGTGCTACTAAGGCTGATGACCATCTGAGTTGAATCCTGGGAGCCACATGGTGGAAGGAGAGAACTGGCTGTCTCAGGCTGTCCTCTGGCTCCCACCTGAGTGCCTTGGCATGCATGTCCCCTTCTTCCACAGAATAAATAAATATATGAAATTACAAGGAAAAAGAACTGCTGTCAGAAATTCAGGATTAACACTTTATTGTCCACTGTGTAGCATGGGTAAACCTACAGATTCACTGCTTCGTAATCCCCCCATCCAATTTTAATAAAGCAGTGTAGATTACCTCCTTAGTGGTGGGGCTGATGCAGACTATTCCACAGTTAAGGAGGTAAGTGGGAGCCACCACATTTGGATAGCAAGGGTGTTGGGGCTTAGCTTGTCTTTGGGGAAATAATGGGCCAGAGCAGTTGTTATGATGTTACTTGGAATATTATCTGTTTGACAGGGGAAGAACAGTCAGACCAAATTATACTGGCAAATGTGAAGTATTCTTTTTCCTGGTTTAGAAAACTTGAAGAGAAATCAGCAATGGGCTCCACAGTACGGTAGTGACCGGAAATGGTTTCCCACCCTTAGTGTTTTTATGCCCTATTAAATGTTTCTAAATGGTGACCACAGAAGGGGTAACAGGAAATCCACAGAGGCACCAGTATCCACTTTATCATCATTGACCAATAGCTTGCAGGAGAGCACACCTCCAGCCATAAATCATGAAACAACTAGACTGCAGGACCTGGAGTCCTGGGTTGTACAGTTTCCAAAAGAACTCATGCGTGCTTAACAGCCTGACTCGCAGCAGATCCGGGATCTGGGGTGACTTACACAAAGCACAGTGACAATAAACCAGGCAAACACGCGCCCAGAGGCCACCTAGGAGAAGAAACGTGGCAAGATGATGCTCTCTACCGGACTAGCTATAACATTAGGAAGACTCACAAAAGACATTTCTGAGTTTGGGAGAAATGCTTCTCGTTCTTTTGTACCACTGATTGTAACAACCTGGTCACCCCTGCTGTGGGATGGTCTGTATGTCAAATGCTCTGATTGGTCAATAAATAAAACACTGATTGGCCAGTGGCCAGGCAGGAAGTATAGGCAGGACTAACAGAGAGGAGAACTGAGAGAACAGGAAGGTGGGAGGAGACACTGCCAGCTGCCGCCATGACAAGTAGCATGTGAAGACGCCGGTAAGCCACGAACCATGTGGAAAGGTATAGATTTATGAAAATGGATTAATTTAAGCTATAAGAACAGTTAGCAAGAAGCCTGCCACGGCCATACAGTTTGTAAGCAATATAAGTCTCTGTGTTTACTTGGTTGGGTCTGAGCGGCTGTGGGACTGGCGG